CATTTCATCCCCAATAATTTAATCTAATCTCCCCAAGAAACACTGTATCCTGTTGTTTAAGTTCGTATCCTTCTCTGAGTGAGTAACTACTTTCATCATCGTCATCGTCATCATCATCATAATCATCATCACCATCATCATCATTAATCACCATCATCACCAACAGATTTCATCATCATCAATCGTATCATCATTATCAATCATCATCATCATTTTCATCGTCATCAGTCGTCATCAACATCATCATCAGCATTAGCATTATTCAACATCAGCATCATCAATCATTAGTCATCATAATCATCAATTATCAGTCATCATCATTATTATCACCGTCATCAGTCATGATCAATCACACTCATCCTCATTATCACAGTCATCAGTCATCATCAAAATTAATCAACATCAGCATAATCGATCATCAGTCATCAGTCATCATTAACATCATCATCATCATCATCATTATCATCAATCATCACACGCCAGAGATAGATAGGGCCTCTAATATAACGCCACAACAACCAGTGTTAGAATAGAGGTAGAGGCAGCAAAAGCAGCTACCTGATGGCTCCAGCACAGTACTTTCAGAAGCTTAGGAATTTCTGCGACAAAGTGGTCAAGCTTTTTGTCTATCGCTCTGAGAGACGTGGGTTCGTGTCTGTTTTTTAGTGTAATTTTTACATAGACCCTGGGTTCATATCAGTTTCTTAGTGTAATTTTTACATAGACCCTGGGTTTGTATCAATTCCTGATTGTAATTTTTATATAGACCCTGGGTTCGTGTCAGTTCCTGATTGTAATTTTTACATAGACCCTGGTTCGTGTCAGTTTCTGAGTGTAATTTTTACATACACCCTGGTTTGTATCATTTCCTGATTGTAATTTTTACATACACCCTGGGTTTGTATCAGTTCCTGATTGTAATTTTTACATACACCCTGGGTTCGTGTCAGTTTCTGAATGTAATTTTTACATACACCCTGGGTTTGTATCAGTTCCTGATTGTAATTTTTACATAGACCCTGGGTTCGTGTCAGTTTCTTAGTGTAATTTGTACATAGACCCTAGGTTCGTGTCACTTTCTGAGTGTAATTTTTACATACACCCTGGGTTTGTGTCAGTTTCTAAGTGTAATTTTAACATAGACCCTGTGTTCGTGTGAATTTCCGAGTGTAATTTTTACATAGACCATGGGTTCGTGTCAGTTTCTGAGTGATATTTTTACATAGACCCTTAGGTGCAATGGAATTCGTGCTTTATGCGTCGCTGGAGGCGGTAACAACAGCTTCCTCATGGCACGAGTGAGCTGTGTAGCCAGACACTTGTGGCTGAAACGCAGCACAGAGCCACGTTCGGACACTAGAAGATGATGTCCCACGTTCAGTCAACACTTGTATCTTTTAAGTGTCTGCGTGAAGTTGGTTAGATCGTCTTTCTTTTAGTCTGTCTGTCTGTCTGTCTGTCTGTCTGTCTGTGTCTGTCTGCCTGTCTGTATGCCTGTCTGCATGCATGCACAGCTATTTGCATAATATTGTCTGCCTATCTGTCTGTCTTTCCGTCTATTCATCGTTACACTTGTCCGCCAGTCCCAGATGGACATGTCTGTAATTCTGTGTGCCTGAGTGTCTATGTATAAACAACAACCTCGAGTAATAGAGGTTCCAGGTTCAAATCGAGGTAAGGGCTTGGATTTTTTAACGTGGACGTATACTTCTAATAATTCCTCCTGGTCTCTGGGTAGTGAGATTGGACGCACGTGTGCATTGTTGCGCATGTAAAAAAAAAAATCCCTTGGCAGTTGAAAATCGAAAATATAAGCCTAGCGAAGCTCCGGGGAAAAGTTTATAGCTGCAAATCTACCCAAAGTATTTCAGGATCCTCGCCGGTGCTACAGAGCCTGTGCACTGTTCTGAGCTTCTTCTGACTCAAACTTGAGTTGGAAGAAAAACAGGGCACTTATCGGTTACTATCCGTGTGCCATTATGTTGATCCGTTGTTCAAACTTCAAATACTTATAAACAACAAGAACTAAAACCGACTCACCATTTGCTGAAACTACAGCAAAACAGTAGAAGACACACCAAAGTTCAATCTTTCGACACATCCTCTTGTTTTTGAAAATGCTGCTTGTTATAAATGACTCCCAACACCACTATAAAAAAAAATGACGATGTAACATCTACAGAACAACGGTACGGTTGCTAAACTACTAAAAGTAAAATTGCGTAGAAAATCCCAGACGGCCAACAAATCCTGGGATCCTGTTAAGGATATGCAACCAACTTTTAACTCACTTGCACACTAATTATACTTGTGTAACAAACTAAACTGGCATGCTCTGTACATATGATGCTGTATGAAGTCGCAGATCCCCCACCAGTTGTAGGATTCTGCAAAGTTCTGAGGTCAGTGGTTCTCAAACGAGGTTAAGCGCCACTTTTGTTGTTCCTGGAATGGCTGTAGGCGTGACTGAACAATGGACAGTTGTCACACGATTTTAATTATTACACATTTGTTTTAAGTATATTAACGTTGTTTTCCTTTTGTTCTTCTGCTTTTGTCGTTAAGCGACATAGAGAGGAGTTAGATATAGTTTTCCTGTATTTTGCTAGCCGTGTAGCTTATGCTGATGTCATATTGCGTTTCTGTAAGTGTCTCTTTTACCTCCACCACCCATATTTTCTTGGTCGGCCTCTTGCCATGCAGCCTGCTATTCTCATGTTGTAGGCTCTAAAAGCTAGTTGATTCTGTTCCATTCAGATCATATGACCAAACCATTTGATTCTTTAATGTTCTATAAAAATATTAACCAGCACTATGCCTACCATTGTTCTTAGTTCGAAATTGGCAACTCCGTCTCTTCTTGTTCCTGTCGCATTTCTTATACATCTCATCTCACTTGTATATTTGCCTAGCCCCCCCCCCCCCCCCCCCCCCACCCCCCCCCCCCCCACCCCCCCCCCCCCCCCCCCCCCCCACCAATCAGGACTAGATTATTAGTTGTAATACCATCCTCATCATCATCATGTGCCCTGCCAACTGACGTAGGCGCTCATGCGTCTCTACATATCACGATCCCTGGTTGCCTGGAACAGCTCTCTTAATGATATCCCTCCATGCCATCGTTTTAGCCTATCCAGCATCTTCTCTCTTGGTTTGCCTCTACCTCTTTTTCCACTGAACTTTCCATTTATCACAATGTTCTCCTTTTTATTATGTGGCCAAAGAACAGTGTTTGTCTTTTTCTTACTGTTGTATATAAAGATCTACTTTCATTGGCCTTTTTCAAGCAATCGTTGTTAGTTACTCTGGCCGTCCAAGGTATTCGTAACATTCGTCTCAGAAACCACATCTCTCTTGCTTCCAAATTCTTCGTAATTTGTTCATTGACATGCCAAGATTCCCAATACGAAATAGAACCAAATAACAATGCGCACACAAAATGCTCCATCCCAAAGAAAATTTAAGTTTGAGAACTACTATTCATAAAGGACAGTAGGTCTGAAGCACGCACTTGAAATCACAAAATTTCAGAAGACTGAAGTGGTCGACCAATCCTCTAGCATCTTACAAGCCTACATCTGACGTTGACCGGAAGGGGTTAGGGGTACAAGAGAGAAGTACCATGACAAATCCACACTTAGGTTAGATGTAGTTTTTATTTATTAGATCAACAGCTTTCTGGTTTGGAGGTTGGGGAAGCATTTCAAAACCCACTATTACAGATTTAACTCATCATCATAATGTAGCAGGTCCTTTGCAGAACGTCGCTCTTATCACAGTCTACCTGAAAGAAACTCGGTCTCTCGCCAGTTCTCCCGCCTCATGTACTTTCATACTCAAGGAGTCACTTTTATCCTGTGCCCATCTTCGTGTCGGTCAGCCCCTGCCCCCCCCCCTTCCTGGTACCATGTCTTCTGCTATTCTTTTTCCAGTCCGTCTTGGCGCTTGAAATGACCAAAATATTTCAGCTTCCGAGTCAGGATGCTGTTTATTAGCCAATCTTCCTTGATGTTCAGAACTTTCAAGATTTCAGTATTTCTCCTCTTTATCTAGAGGTTAGAAAAGTAATTCTCGCATGCTATGTTGTTGTTTGTCCACCACGAGTGATTAAGACCAATTTTCATCCAAAGTAGTAGTGATCAATAATTAAGAGTAAGAAGGTGGTTGATTAGTCCAGTATGGGCCTGGGAAGTTCTTGAACAAGAGGTGGAAGCCGGAATAAGTTTCGGATTAGCGATACGGCTCTTTCTAGTTCTGCCTCCGTTTCTCTGACTGTGCAACCTCCGCGGCCTGGCACCCTGATGCACCATGCATGAGAGATGTACGCCATCCAGGGCGATCCTTTGCAGCAGCATCCCATGTTGCGGTTTTGATGTCAGAAGAGTTGAAAGCAATTTTAAGAGTATTATTACAGCGCATTTTTTGTCCTAACTGTGACCTCTTCCCTTGCTGGAGCTCGCCATAAAATACTCTCTTTGGGAGGCGATAGTCTGGCATGCGGGCTAGGTGATCAGCTGATAGTTCGTCATGATATATAGAGCCATTTTTAACAAATGGATGTGAATCGTGGATAATGAATAAACAATCCAGCAATCTTGAGGTCTCGTAGATATGGTTTTACATAACAATACTTAGACTGGAGAGCCAAAACGAGCAGCCCCCTTGTTTTGGAAGAGACCAGGGCTGGAAGACGAATTATCGCAAACACCATAAAAAAACAGTCGTCATATTTGTGATCATTTTATGAGAAGAGTGAAACTGGAATATGCTGTGACCTTTGGGAATAGCTAGTAAAGAAGTTTATATTTCTTTTCAAGACTAAATTGTGAGAATAACTGTTGTACATGAAAATTTGAACAAAGAAGACACGAAGAACAGGTTGTACAATTTATTGCCTGTCAGATTTCGCTGTACCTCGTCAGGGACATACTACAGTAACAACTGAGTAAAATGTAGCACATTAATAGACCATTTTAACTGAAACACAAAATCGACTACAC